TCTCTCACTCCCGTTGTCTCTCTTTTCCTTTTCTCCGTACCACACGAGAAAGACCATTCATACGTTTCACAACGGAAGAACCGTCGATTCCTCCGATAAACTCCCCCTCTACCACCGCAACGTAAACCCTCCTTCATCGCTGATCATTTCATCTTTCACGGCCGTTGCTTCACGACGCTTCGATTCGTTCTAGCCGTTTTTTTTCTTTTAAGTTGCTAGCCCCTATCCTGTTCCTACTTTCTGTTCCAGATTTCGTACGAACCGTCTGTGCGCGATACGAAAACCACCGAGAACGACGAGGATGTAGCCGCGTGGCTGCTGTTTCACGAGAATCGTATCGAGAGGATGTGCACGAAAGAACACCGTACACGGAACGTGAAGTTTGCACCTCGAGGCGTGTCTGTTTCTATCGCGTTATCGAAGATCAACGGTACATCGAGTACAGGGATCGTCGTCGTCACTGCCAGAGTAATGAAAACGCTCAGCTAGAAGCGTCTCTACACTTCCGTCCCGTATTATCCCGTCCATCGACGAAAAAACAAAACAAAGAACAATCAAAAATAAAAGGAATCTCCTCGCTCCTTGTGTTCACGAAAAAAAAAGAAGAAAAATCCTCTTTCTCTACCCACTTCAAGATCAAAAAGACTGAATATCAAAGAGAAGCAAGATGCTGGGCGTGAGTCAACCGGGAAATCCACCCTCGAGCCTGCGACACTCTGCTAGCTTCTCTTGCTTGCAACGCGGCACCGCCAGCGAGGGACATCGAACTAGAACGTCAACGTTGTTGCAACAACCGAGCCTTCAACTGAGCAGCAGCCATCATCAGTACTCGTCAGGGCAAACTTCGTTGCTACAACAGTCCACCGGCACTGTACAACATCGTATCGAGGCCTTGGAAGCTGTTCAGGACAGCAACGACTACGGTTTCGTGAAGATTCGACCACGTCTACGCAGCACAAATGCTACCCTTCACTACGAGGAGGAGTTAGCCGCTCAGAAGAACGCTCTGTGGGATCGAGACGCTTCGGCGTTCAGCGATCGCGAATGCGACAGTAATTACAGAGACTGCTCGTTGAAGGTGAAAGATCGCGAGCATTCGCCTAAAGGAGCTGTCTCGAAGAATCAGCACCCGTTGAGAGGTGCTCTGGTACTGTTCACCTCGTCCTGGTGGAAAGTCAGACAACGCGAAGATCAGTTGAACTCGTCCACGGATCGCGTATTAACGTCCACCACCGCGTCCGAGCGAAAGTGGTCGAGCACCTCGATGGCATCTCCGTCGAACGAAAGAAAGTGGCCGTCGGTCACATCTCCGACGAACGACCGGAAGTGGTCGGTGGGCAACAGCGCGCTTACGTCGCCGGGGAACGAGAGGAAATGGACGAGATCGTCGGTCTCGTCGAACTCGACGGGCCAGCAAGACCGGAAGTGGCGGTCTTTGGGCGCCGTTCTAAGAGCTCCGACCGGACCAGCTGGTTCACACGCTGTTCAACACTCGTTGTCGCACAACATGAGCGTGTCTATGATCGAGGGTGAGCACTTCCGGGAGGATCTCCGCGGCTCGAGTTGCAAAACGACGCGCTACCAGCAGCAGCAACAGCAACCGACGTCTTACTCGGCTCGAGTGTCGCGCGTCAGCAGAGATATTTACCGGGAAAACGGGGAATTCGGTCAGACAGGCGGTAGATCAAAGGTCAGTCGTAGACTGTACCAAGAGAGTACAGAGTCGACGGACAGAGACGTGGAGGAGAAGCACGTTCCTACTAGACATCATTTCGAGGACGATTGCAGAGGTAGAACGAATCGAGAGAGTATCTGTAAAGTTGAGCAGAACGTTGGAAACGAGACACGTACCGCTGCCACTTCAACCAGATCCAGCAGAGCGCAGAGCTTTTATCTTCTCGATGATTTCCTGCGACCTCAACCCCAACAGAACAAGTGTATGCTGAACGTTTACCTGTCGCCGTCGCATTCAAAGTCGTCTGGCAACGGTAACGATCACGCAGGAAGATCCGGCGAGGTGAAACAGATGTCGCAGGGGAACATGACGAACATCACACCTCCGAGACGCCATAATTCGAGCTCTGATAGCCTCGAGGTCGCGACTAGTCCACTTCCGCCGCCTGTGCCACCACCGCCGCCTCAGGTGAACGCCAGCCGTGACCGAGACAGGGCTGAGAATTTCAAAGAGAAGGACGTGTGCCAGTGCAAAATGTGCTGGACCAATATGCAGCAGAGATCTTTCGTAGAAGAGGTAAGTCCTTCGGGATCGAGGTGTATCCGCGAGTTTGTTACACGGATCACGGTCACTTACCGTCATACTTTTCCTTCGGTTTTCCGAGCCGTTTCGACTACGTGTCGGATACCCTTGGTACCTCGGAGGGTTCTTAAGGAAATTGAGACGGTTTACACGTTCCTTTTTGTAGAGAGATACGAATTACAGTGATCTTTTGTAAAGGGGTTTGTAGAGATTTGATAATTTAATTTTTGTAATTTTTATAAATATTTGGTGTAATTTAAGATTGAAATAGTAGCTTGTTAATGTTTTCAGGGAGATATGTATTGGTTAATTTCGAGGAAAAAATAAATTTGAAGACATTGAAATGAAATATTGTATGGTTTATATTAGGATGTTGCAGCTTGTTGATGCTTTTAAGGAAGATACTCGTTGATGTCGAGGAATTCACGAGAGCCGAAATATTGAAACGCAACCAGTGATATAAATCGACGGTGCTAGTAGTAGGTATCTAGGAGGAAATTTCTCCGAGGAAATTCCTCAGCCAGCTAGGAATATGTAGTCGATAAATCAAGCGACGCGTGCTTTTGCTTTTCAATTTTGTATCGGCCAACGAACTCGACTTCCTCGCGTTTCGATCGCCGCGTTGCATTTGCATAATTGATCTCACGTTTTATCGATTCGTTTGGTGCACATAGATTTTATCACGTTGATTGTTACGAGTTTGAACATTTCTCGAGTGAAATTCAACGGACTTTCGACTTGATTTCGACGAAAATAAAAAATTATTTCTCGTTCTTCGAAATGTATTGAAAAGTAACATTTGTAATTTCGTAAAGAATTCTATTTTTAATTTTTTTTTTTAATTTTTGTATTATTTATTTCACTCCGTATCGTGAATTATGCTAAAGTAGTTTATACATTTTTCTAAATTCAGTGTTAAGATAATATTTTTTCTCCTCTAAGCCAGAGGACTCAGCACCGTAACAGAGAATGTACTATATTTACAGCCGCAGTAGACGCAACTAGGTATCGATCTAACCCAGACTTTTCGACTTATAGCTAGTAAACATCGGTAAAAATGTCTCTGCAACCAACCTATAAACTTAAAAGGAAGTATTCCTACATATATCAAAGAATTGACAAATTTCCAAGAGAAATACTGATATTACAATTTTTCACAATACAGCATACACCGTTCGATGAAACATCGTTTCGAATGAATTCTCAATCACGAAACCCCAAATTACCGAACTTCCTTACCGACTTCATCACGTGAATACACGAGAACTGG